AAATAGATCAGCGTGCTTCCCATGGCAGAGAGGAGAGAGCTTACTGTATGACTATGGACTTAGCGACAGTGCTTCTGTTTTTCATTAATGACCTTTAAGCCTTATAGCACCCCTCCTAGGCAAAATATCATGTTGCCTCCCTTTTCACCTCCTGGTGAGCATATTCCATGTTCTTAAGCTTTTGTGTACAAAACTGAATTTCATTTTCTACCACATGACATTCTGTGTTATTTTAGTACGGTCTCTTCAAGGTGTGATGTGTTGTAATTTGAGCCCAGGGGTTTGCTCGCTCTTTGGATCAGTAAAAAAAAATCAAACAAGTAAAAGGTATCTTTCTGCCTCAGATCTCTAAGGATTTGCAGTTGCCTGAAGAGGATAAGACCAGATGCCACCTGTGTTAAAAATGTTTCTCTTCTTTTAAAAGCTACAAATCTCTGGGCTATATTCACCAGTGCTTTAACGTCATGAATAGAGTCAGACTGTGACTAGCGGGACATATGTCTTTAATTGTTTGTCTCCTGGACTAGCATGCGAGCCGTAGGCACGTTTCCTGAGCTATGGAGGAAAGAGGAGTATATGTGAATTATTCTGTAGAAGCTTGTAAAGCCATATAAAAATTTATGGGCTTGCTGCATTATTCAAGGTACATAATTTTATTACAGATCTGAGCAACACATGGGACAACTGATTTATTGTTGTTGTCATATTTTACAGAATGAATGTTTTACAAAGAAGATTTTACTGCATGTATTTTAAAAAGTATAGGGCAATTCTTTGGAAAATGCCAGTCTAAGCTTATTTTCAAGGAAAACAGAATTTTATGCACAGGCAAAAGTAATCTATTCGTATCATGTTATGCAGGCTATAACTTTAATAAATGATTGAAAGAATCTCATCTGATCCAGTACTTTTCTGTTAGCATCTTACTTGGTGCACCTTCTGTTAGCACCTTATTTAGAGGTGCAGGGTGCTAGAAAGCAAAAATAGAGATAAGCCTTAAAATACAAGACAGTTCCTCTCTGTGGTAGCAAAACAACCATTTTTATTATATAATAGATGTTATTTATAAGTAATTATGAATAGATGGTGACTGCTGATAAATACCAGGTTTGCATCAAAGAACTGGTTTTCATTGAAATGAGGGATAGGATTCATCTCATTCTAACGCTGTTTGCCTAATGACTAGTCTAAGCCTAGGCCCCTATCTATGATCAATGCCCCAAGGCTGGTGGCTTGAGTTGCTCCATGGAGTTGATTGTCTCCACTGATAGTAGGAAAAGACTAGGCAACTACCTAGTAGTTAATATTTGTTGCAAATTTAATATTTGTTGCAAACCAAATATTAAATTTCACATCTAAAGAGAAATAACTGCCAGTGGACTATTTTGGCATTAAAACTGGAAACTGAATCACCTGAATTGAACAAAATGTTTTCATTTCAGTGTGCTGCTGCAGATATGATCTATGCTGGTTTTGGTTGCCACCCCCCGGGTTCCTACCCTGTTTACAGCTCTGCGTTAGTGACACATCCCCTCTTGCTGCCTGCTGGGGAGTCCAGTGTGAGGAGGAGACTGGCAGGCCACAGGTTTTGATATTCACTTCCCAAAACACAAGGTGAAACATTTTTGCCATCCACTGAAGCAGTTCCCTTTCTGGTCCAGTGTTGAAACTGATTGAATTTGTCACTGGTTTACGCTTTTAAAAAAACAAAAAAAGGTTGAGGCTTAGGTATTTAGGGATTTGATCTTTAAATTAGGAACTTGAAGTGGTCCATTTGTACTTGTCACTGCTGTTTCGTTATCCGTTCTACCATTTCCATAGTGTGGGCGGAATATTCCTTCGTGAAGCCGAAACTCACTTTCTTTTCTCAAAGACCCTAATGAAGATAAATTGTGCAGTCAGCAGTTGTTTTCTTTCCAAGAATTCTTCTTAATTTTGCACTTCGTAGATGGTTCCTGCTACATTAGATATCTTTCTCCTTTGAGTGCAGTGATCCAAAATCAAGCAAGAGCTCCAGGATGTGGAAGAGTGCTGCACAACTTGGTTTGTAGCCTGCCTAAAGCAACCTTTCCATAAGCTGACATGTGGTTACATGGGACATACAGCAGAGCTGCAGTCTGCTGTAAGGGTGGCTGAATCATTCATGCTGGAATCCCTTTGCCTGTCACTACCCTGGACACAAGTGATACATCTGCACAGCTAGAAGAGCTTTTCCATCCATAATTCTTTGCACAAGGGAATTCTAGAGTCAAGAGTGGTTGACAGCTACCATGAGGTGCTTGCATGTTTGATGATGGCCTGAAAAATCAACGTCACCAGACCCCCTTTGAGCTTAGGGTCTAAGTAAGTAGGACTTCACTTCTTCCAGGTGGGGGAAAAAAACACAGCTGATCCATGACTGAGTTTAAATTCTCATCTGTAGAATATTTTTAGAGTGAAAATAGGAGTTCTAACTGAATAAAAAGCTGGCGATATATTGAACTAATTACATTTGGTACGGAGTTAGACCATACCTACCTGAAAGGAACGATCTGAAATCACTGGAACTAAACTTACTCATTTGCAATCTGCAGGCCTAGTTTCCAGGCCATGTCTAGTCCAAGGCAGTAGTGTAAGAAAGTTTCGTTAATTTGTGATTGAAATGCTTTTCTCCCCAAAGGTTGCCAAGCTAGACTCTGTGACAGAGTGGGTTTTATCTGCTAATTAAAATTACTCAGAGTCGTTGCTTCTATTTTGACTTTACCATAGGATGTGGTTTTCCAGCTTGTCCTGCTAGAAGTAGATACTGCACTTGTTAATAAAGAACAGGACTGGATCTTCTGTTGACAAGCTCATTTCTTTTCACTGCCATGTATTGGATGTGACCTGGCCCCTTGTACAAATCCTCGTCGCAGCTCCCCTGGACATTGCAGAATCCAAACTTCCTCTGTGCATTAAGATTGGGTGTCTGTGCCACGTGGCTTTTGCCAGGCGCACTGGGTGAGGCCCGAACTTTTCTAGCTCAAGATCCTGCCTCCAACAGCAGCCAGTGGTGGATGCCTGGGGAGCGGCATGATCACCAAGTCAGAGACTGTGTGGTATCTACCTGATTATGGCCACCCAGCTTCTAGCATTCACTGTTTCATGGACTGTTGGAGAAGGAGGAAGCACAGCATCAAATACCTCTTCCAGATTTGTCTTCCGTTAATTTGTCTAACCACTTTTTGATTTCATTCAGGCTTTTAACCTCTGTATTGCTGGGGGGGGTTGGGGGGGGCAATTAATTTTGTAACTCATTACATGTTCTGTGGAAAAGTACTTCTTGTTTTCTGCTGCTTCTAAATCTCCCCTCTGGTAATTTCTATGGATTCCCACTAGTTCTTATATTATGAGTAGTAGTAAATAATAACTCCCTGTCCACCTTCTCTGTACTATTCCTGATTTATAGGCCACTGTCAAATTCCTCTTCTTTCCCCAGCTGAAAAGTCATCTTGTGTTTACTCTTACTCATACAAATCTATGCCGTTCAAAGGGCTGTATAAGCAGTTGTGGTAATTAAAGGAGGTAAATTAAACATACACCTGGGCACAGAGACTTAGAAGCACGGAGCATTTGTGGCTATAGCTGACATTATTGGAAGGCGTCTTCAGGCTGAAAATCAGGGCCTTAGTTTAGAGACATGGAGAGATCAGTAACAATACTCACAAAGGGATTCAGCTATGTCTGAGCTGGAGAACAGCATCAAGCCACGTGATAGACATTCTGTAAATCTCTGCTCCATATTGTCTGTGCTGAATATAAGCAACTAGGCTTTCTGAAATGATCACCCAAAAGAAATTGCTGTACAGTAACTTGAAAGATGCTTACTTTTACCCCCAAGGATCAAGGACAATGTTGTCCCCGTTTTGTTCTGGCACAAGAGTTTTTGAGAGCTAGGGGTTTTGAATCCAAAACCCAAAGACTTTGGTGCTACCAGTGGACTTTCTATTCCTGTACCCCAGGAACTGAGAATCTGCTGAAGGGGAGTGTTTTTAGGAGCAAAGCTATTCACACACGAGTCTCAAATTATCTTCAATAGCATGCTCAGCCAAATCTGAAAAAAGAATACAAGTACACATTAATTAAGAATTAACATAATTCTGCTCCTTGAGTATGGTGTTTATTAAAATATAAACTCTGTGAACATACATTTGAGAGGGAGCTTCTAAATGTTTTTAAAAGCTTAATTTTCAGTCAGTCTTTATTTCTTTTTTCGTTAAGAGGGAAGAAAGAAGATGGCACTTGACTTTCTGAAACTTTCTCTTTGCTTCTCAGATATATCATCAAAAAGTTGCTGAGTGTCCTTAACTCTGCTGATAGGGCAAAATCAGGAATGATTTATATGAAAAGCAAAGACATGGGACGACATTCTCCCAAAGCGCCTGAAAACCACATTTGTTCAGACAACTAAAGGACCAAGAAAATACGCAAAGAGATTTTCAGGCATATGTGCTGGCCCCTTATGCAGTTTTCACATTTGAATTTTGGGAAAGCCACATTCTTAAGCACTGAAATGCTTTTAGAGATTTGACTGCTTGTTGTAGTACCACAAATGAGTTTTAAAAAAATAATTCTCTGATGGAAGACCCAAGTGTCCAGTCACTTCCACCGCTGCTTAGAAAATAGGGTTCAGCCTTTGTCCTGCCCCGCCAAGCAGCATAATACCTAAATACTCTTGTAAGTGTTGATGAACAGTTCCTCAGTAGTAGCCCGAGCTCTCACACCACCTCACAATTAGCCACGCTATTTGGAAATACTCATGGTCCACAGCACAGGAGGCTTTGCACCCCAGAAAGCATCTTTCCCCAGGCTTGCTGGTGTGGGAGATGCATAGCACAACAGGGACCAGTTTGCGTCCAGATGCATCTCACAGAATGAAGAGGGCAAAGTTTACTAACGATTCTCAGCTCCTTCTCTGTGTTCCACTTTGTCCTGCACATCTGTTTTTTTGCTGATTTACTGAACCTTTTTGTGTTTTGCAGAATGCCAAAGCCAGCTACGACTTCAGCAGTAATGATCCCTACCCCTACCCCCGCTACACTGATGACTGGTTTAACAGGTAAATGGGTTTTGATGAGCCTGCTCTTCACTTTGGTTTGTTTATAAGAAATTATAAGTATTGGCTGATGTTTGTGGAATGCCTGTTTTCTGCTAAATTCTGTGGCTGCCAAAACAGAAGCTGCAGTCTCACTACTGCTTGAAAATTAGAGGTTACTTCTGACTTAATTTTTTTAGGTAGCTTCTAGATAATGCTGAACAGCCATTTTAAGGCTTATAAATTAGGTTGCTGCTTCAGAACAGTGTATGTGTAAATTGTTTGAATGGGTGATAGCCAAATACCGTTTTCTGTCAGCTGTCCTAGGACATTGTGGTAGCCCAAATCTGTACACGCTTAATACAGTTTTGACTGGTTTCCTGTTTACTGTGTCTGAGGCAGTATCACTGCTAGCTAATTTTAAAGGGAGTAAGCTGGAGGCAGGAAAAGGATTGGGGCAGGGGGGAAGTCTTTTCATCCAATTATAGATTAAGGCGGCAGAAAAGCAGCATGGTGTAGAATGGCCAGTTTAAAAACAATTAAATCTTACATACGATTTGAATCATCTGTCTCTTCACCGTGATTTAAGGATAGTGTACATGGGTAGTATTTCAGGGCTGATTCTGAGGTATGTCTAGCTGCTAGATGAATTAAAGTCAACGTACACTGACTGGGAACCTGTTCTGTTGTGTTCATAAACCTGGGATCAACAGTGCAGCTGTGTTTGTTGTGTTATTTCTCCTGAACACATCATGAGTGCCCAAGACTTACTCCTCCTTCAATATGTTCTGAACTTAGCTAGTTTCCAGCTGGAGAAGGTCTGGTCCTCAAGGTATGGTATAAATAAGAATGGCCCAAAAGAAAAGGCTTCAGATTTTAGGAAAAGTAACCTTTTTAGTTTCCCAAAACTTATTTTTGTTTAGAAGAGAACAGAAATGTGTGTCAACAGTTTTAAAAAAAACCCAACTTCTGTGCCATGGGTTCTGTATCTGTCCCAGGAAACAGCCCATTTTGTCAGGCTATAAGTGCTCCTAGCAAGATTTAACATAGTCAAGGGTGCAGAGTCCAAGGCACACCTGTAAGGTGTGTGTATGACCTGGTGATCTCAGTGTCCAGCATCTCTGCCTCTGTGGCAGTACTCCCCAGGGTCTGTAAATTTGTAGAAATTTTTTCATGATTCCAGTGAAATTCCCTGAAGTCATCTAGATGCAAATATAACTGATGTTGCAGCAGCACTGTGGATTTGAAAACCTGTAAAGGTTTCAGGGCTCAGTCTTAGTGCTCATCAAAAAATATTTTAGGCCTATTTGATGTGGTTTTCATGTCTAACTTAGTGCGGATGTATGGATGGCCTCTGAGTTTTGTATGGATTTTTTCTTTTTATTTCTAAAGAAATCAATTTTAGTTCTATCAGAATAGCACAACAAAGATGTGGAGCAGCTGTGCTTCCACCTCCGACACAGACTTCCTGGCATGGATCAAACAGATTTAGGAGCTGTGATGTTATCCTTTGTAGTCCTGCCATTTTTCAACCAAAGCAAGATGCCGGTGAGGTTTCTCCTTCATTTCGGGAAAGGACATCTGACACTTTCAAACTAGTATGAATCCCATTAGTGAATGGAAAGTTGTAGAAAGTCTAGGGCTCTAATTTGTGAAGGTCTGCTGCCTTTCTTGCTTTATTTATGCAAAGGATCTTTGTAGGAGAAAAATACCACTTAGCTCTGGAGCAGCACAGAGGAAAATTAAATCTAGCTTTAGTGGGTAATGGTAGCTCCTGTCATTTTCAGTGTGGAACTTCATAAAACTAAGTGTGTTCTGCCAAGCCCCATTAACACTGATTGTGCTGCTATCAAGTATTTTATAGTTGGGCACAGTTTGCCGTCCTCACGTGTTCTGCAAGGTGGCCCTGGAGGCAGAGTTAACCTCCTAAAGTCTCTTAAAACAGGCCTCGAGCATGCTGGACTCGGTAAGGGCTATGGTCTCTGGCCCCAGGTGCCTCTAGCTAAGTTCAGGCACCCAAGTGAAGAATCAAAGGTGAGCAGCACAGTCACCTGCGACCCAATCTGTAATTATTGAGAATGAAACATGCTTCAGGTTTTCAGAGAACTGCAACACTTTTTTCTATTTCTTTTCTAGAGGGGATGGGGACCTCAATTCAGCAAGTCAGGAGGAGAAAAGCAACGCAGGAATGCATTGCTGATTTTCTTCATTATTCTTTCCAGAAAAAAATGATACCTAGAAAGTATAGCATTCTTTGTCATGAACCTTGAGGTTTCTTTGGTGAGACAGGGAATTTTCTGCCTCACAAGGTAAATCACAGGAGAAATGCATTCAATAAAGCATCCCTCTCCTGCCTGCACAGTTCAAGAAGGCTTTAGGATACAAGATTTCCTGTTTTCTGCAGGCTAAGGCGTAAACCAAGACATCATGCCCAGCTATTCAGGAGCAGTTGTGACTATGTTTTTCTCTGCGTATTTCTTGGCTATACTGTTAATCAAACTGATGTGCTCATATATAAGCTATTGTCATAACTTCTGACTCCTGTCTGCCTATGATGGCCTGTCTATACCTGTATGTAGCTGCAAAGGTGTGTCTGAATAGAGAGTAGTTACACAGAAAAGCCAGTGAGACACCTGCAATAAAGGCTCCATTTTGCTCAGTTTGCAGTCAGTGGTGTATCTCCCATTGAATTTTATGCATGCGGGAGGATCAGACTCAAAATAGGATAGCGTAATATCCCTTTTTCCATAAAGAATATATTTCTGTGTGAGCAATTCAAGTGATTTGTGGAACAAGAAGTAGAGGACTGTTTTTTAAAGAGATGAACCAAAGGCCTTTTGTGAGCTGCCAGCTGCATGTGCAAAGTGTCATTAGACTTTAAGAAAAAAAGGAAAGGTTTTTGCATGGAGTATTTCATTAATCGCAGCTGCTCTGCTTATAAGCACAGATTCCCCTTCCATTTTGTGCTTTTTAAGGCTGCTGGAAACACTCTGGCCTTTCCGTTTAACAGCCATTGGCCTATGAAACCAAGGAAGGTGGGTTTTGGAAGGGGACAGTGTGGTGCCTCAGGCAGGGAATTGCAGTTGGGCAGGTCGGCTGTTACAGGGAGAGGCACATAGATAACTGGGCAGCCAAGGGACTTACTCCCCTGCTTACTGTACTGACTGCTTGACTGTGTTCAGACCCACAGCCTGGGAACCAAGCCAGGATAGGGAACACTGGGTGCAACATGGGGCAGGCCTGAGGAGCAGTGAAGGAACCTGAACCAAACCCTGTTCCCAAAAGCAGAGGCAGCTTTACAGCGCTTAGTGGTTTTTACGAAGCACTTTGGGAACAGCCTGTGATTTTTAACACCCACTCCTCCCAAACCACATCCAGTACCTTGGCATGTACCATGTTGTGCAGTGCGGAGGTACCCACAGGAGTCAGAGATAGCTCGGCCTTTCTGTTACAGCCCTCGGACTTCTTGCTGTGAGCATGAAGAAGGCACAACTTGGGGCTCCCCATCTCAGAGCACTGAGATTACGAATTTCTGCGACGATATAAATAACCAATAATTATCTCCACTCCCATAGCCTTGTATTCTGTAGATTCTCTCACCCAGATAAGAGTTAGCTGGGCAAAAATTACTATCTTGGAAACCCATATTCTCCAGAGGTAAAAATGTTCTTTACTTATTATGGATCCAAACAAAATACCACCGAGACAAGGAAAGAACTCAACTTGTCTTCCAGACAGCGCTCCTTAACAGGGTAAAAACACCTGCTCCCCTCCTCCTCATTTTTCAGTCAATACAATGGAAACAACATAATAATTGAGAATTTGTATGAACAGATTTAGCAGCTCTTTCTGCCTGCAGTGTTACGACACAAGTGTCAGGGAGGAGCCACAGCACTAACTGCTGGTTCTTGGTGTGTTTGGATGCAGGCAGAGTGGCACATTCCCCAAAGAAGGGGGACGCTTTCCCTTGTGCAAACACTTGAATGCTCAGAAGCTGTCAATGTGAGTAAAAATGGGATCGCATTTGACCCACAAAAGCGTGCCTCTGAGCTTAGCATATTGAACTGCTGCCCAGCGCAAGCAACTAAAGTGGTCAAGAATAGGCAGATCCTCGCAGCTTTTGAGACTGCAGTTCTGCATAGCCCTTCCCCGGCAGACAGCTGAGGTTAAGAAGGATGTAGCCTGTCCTTTGCTGTCTGCAGAAGCATTTCAAAGCAGATGAAAAGGAACCTTAATGAAAATCTGTGCCATCTCTGACTCTTAAAAGATGTGTCGATAAAACGGCATGCACTATAGCATTGGTAGTGGGTTTTAGAAATAGTTTTCAAAGACAAAGCAGAGTGAAATCTTCGCAACTAGTACAGATGTTATTTAAACAAGCTGAAGGCAAAACTGACTTTCAGTTGAATCACCTTCTTCCATCTTAGGTTTTCACAAATGTTCATGTAAAACGTTTTCTTTTATTCCATATACAGTGTTTATGGAAAACTTGCACTGCATGCTACTGTATGGTTTACCTTTGAAGTAACTTGTTCATAGGTGAAAATATTCTTTTTTCTACTCTGTTTTCTATCCCCTTGTTTTAAACATTGACATAATAGTGAAGAGGTGAGCGTTGCAGAGAAAAGCTGTGATTTGTGCCTATGACATTGGTCACTTCATAGAAACCACAGTGGGTTCATCGATACATGAACAGCAAATAGGGCAAAATTGGAAGAGTCTGTGATTTGCCATTAATAATTCAACTAAATGTGTTTCCACTAACTCACATGTGACTTTTTTTGTCTAGTCAGCAGCATGGTATCTAAACCCTGAGCTGCTGGAACAGGTCTGCTTGCTGTCTCCATCATGTGGGCCAGTGCACTGGGGAGGCAAGGTTGGGGAGAGGACCTTCTGATAAAATCTTTTCACCGGGAAGGTCCTAATACAATTTTTCCATCTGTGAGAGAAAGAGCTCACCTGGCAGTGTCACTGATTTTTTGCACCACAGCATCAGTCAAGACAATTTTTTAACAAAGCCATTTATTCTGCTCTGTGGCTTGTAGCTAGCCCACAGGTGACTAGATAATGAATACCTAGCAACACTATTTTTTTTTTTTCACAGTTCCTTGAACAAGGGCATGAGGGAAAACCTGCTTGACTGTTGAAAGAAATTTCTCCAGCAGCTGAATAAGAAATCCATATTGCTCTCCTCTCTGCCCCCTTTGTAAAAGGAACTTGAATGAGATCTTCACCCTTTCATGATCAAGATTATTGTGCACATTTGAGGCCAGTCAATTTTTTTTTTTTTGTGAAGCTGCCTTTAAAAGTATATTCTTCCAAGTAGAGTGGGAAAAAGAATGTGTTGCTTCTCACCCCTTTATTAATGTTACACTCACCTTTGCCAGAGATGCTTAAAGGGAGAGAGGGAGAAAAAAGATGATTAAAACAAAACAATTCTGCTGCCTCCCAGGATGGTTCATCTGGTACTCTGTGTAGCCTTTACAATACAGCACTGCTAATTGCATGAATCCTTAGCATGCTATAGGAGCAATGCCAGTTTTAATGCACAGAGTGGATTGATGTGAGCAGTAGGATGGATTCATATTGATTCAACATCTTAAATTTAAACTTGACAGCAGCACAGGTTTCACCAGTTTCTCTGCTGCTGTGCTATTTTTTTTTTTTAAACTAGATTATATTGTCCATTTTTATATTCTCTGTGGTTTAATTTCTGTGATGAATTAGGAGAAAGGAAAATGCAATCTGCCTTCCTGCAGGACTGCCTCAAAGCCACTTCCAGTTAAAGGGTCTCTGTTGAGAGCTGTAAAGTACTTCAGAGACACTAACTGTACTTGAAATGCCATGTGTCAGCCCGGATCTGGACCTCCGTGTCAGAGCAGAGACATTTCCCACTTGAGCAGAAAGCAGTAGCTCCGCCAGCTGGCAACTGGAGCACCTTGTCAGCTCTCTTGGGAATTAGGCACTGGAGGAGAGGGATGCGTGTGCCTTGGGTCTGGCCAGCTTTGGGCCTTGCCAGCCAGGCTACAGCTCTGGTGCTGAGGAGTGCAGTGTCCCTTGTGGCTCCCTTCTGCCACTCCAGTTTGATATTGCACCCACCTCTTTCCATAGCATTTCTTTGGTGGGCAGGGATATGCTCCTGATACATGTTTGAACAGGAAAAATGCAATCAGACTTTGTTCTGTGGAGTTCAAAATAATGGGTGTCGCACTGTCAAGTCACAAGAATAAAAGAATTATATTGATCTTACTTTTACAGTGGTCTGTCAAGGGCATTTCTACTGACTAATAGTTGCTAACAAGGCAGAACCTGTTAAAAAGAAAAGGTCTGAATAACTTTACAACTCAGTGTAGCATAAGTATGCATGTTAACCTCAGAGCAAGCATTGCTTATATTGCAGAGGGAAAGTTGATAATCTCCTGCTTCAGGAAGGAGTGAGCTTATCTAAGTATCCAAGTACAGCACTGAACAGTTTGCCATTGAACGGTTTTCCTCTGAAGCACTGGGAGCTGACTATGAGGCAAAAACAAGATCATGGTGATCTGGCTCAATTCAGCACACGCATTAGCTGGGTTCACGGTGGTGTCTCTGTCTTCCCTTTTGCAGCCATGGGACAAGGTGTGCAGGAGAGGTGTCTGCTGCTGCCAACAACAACATCTGCGGCGTGGGAGTTGCGTACAACTCCAAGGTGGCAGGTACTGTAGTATTTCAAGGTGTAAATGGTCCTTATGACACTGTGCCTCAGGCAGAACTTCTGCAGAGACGGGGAGCATTGCCCAGGACAGGACTGCAGGCTGGCACTGGGCCATGTGTTTATTATTTTTCACAGTAGCTGGGCAGAGGAATTTCTCCATGGCTTTGCCTTTTCAATTGAGGGCCTTATATAGCCTCTTTAATAACATTGCAGAGGAGCAGCTCAGCTCCTTCTTATGCCAATTCCTGTTTGTATGCTGATTTTCAATGCTTCTTCCCTGCGTGGTTGCAGAATCATTTGTGACAAATCTCATTTTGCAGGAGGTAAAATATAAATTCCTTCTGCTCTTAGAAGCTGTACTTGAAAAGGCAAAATCCCGTGCTGCTCTTACTCTTTAGGGTCTCACAGGGCAGGCCCTGCAGTGCTGTATATCTCTGCAGTTATTGGTTTCCTCTGTTTTAACAAGCGATGCAGAGTGGTAGGATGCACAGAATGAAATGGGTGGTGCCTAGCACCCAGCATTCACACCTCAGGTGTGTTGGGTGTTTTTACTTCTAACTAACTCTTGTCTGCACCGATAGACTGAATACAGGGATTGGAATGAGTTAGGCTCTTGGACAGCATGTGTGGGTTTAGTTTAATCTAAAGAAATCCATTTTCCCACTCTGAGTGTTCCATCATGAGAACCAAGGCACAGCAAGCAAAGATAGATGATTATGAATTTAATTTCATTCCCCAGTCCACACTAAAACTCCAGTGTGGATGTGCCCATTTCTTTCTGGGGATGGTTCACAGTGTGTGCGCAAGGGCAGCTCCACCCTGCTTGTCAAGTCCCTGTTTCACCGTGCGTCAGAAGAGTCTGGAGAAAGCTACGTTTCACCTACCACCTGCATGATCAAAAGCTGAATCTGTACTGTAGAAGGGCACCAAGCAACGTTTGCTGAGCTGTTAACCCCAAGAGGTATCACTGAAAGTTGGTAACTGGACAGGCAGGTCTAGTGCATGTCCCCTTTCTTCAGTAATATTAATGTCCTCTCCAGAGGTAGGACACTTCATATTTACATTCTGGCAATAACTTTCACTTTAAGAGGTGCCTGAATTGAGGCATGGGGTTTTGTGGGGGATCTCATCTGTATTATTAGTATAACTCTACAACTTCAAGCTGCTTGCTCAAAAAAAAAGAGGTGAAGGCCTTTTCTGATGACCAACATCCTACAAATAATCTTCCATATTTGTCCACTTCGTAACAAAATCCTCACGGATTTTTTCAAGTGCCAGCCTTTCCTGCCCGAGGACAGTGTGCACCTGCAGCACCACCGTGTGGTCAGCGGGACCGTGGAAGTTCGTTAGAGCCGAGAGTCTGCTGCTGACACGATGCAGGGTCCACGTGTGCAGCTAGAATTGGAAGTTGGTCGCCAAGGATCAGGGGCATCATATGTTTTGCTTCTTGTAGCTCTTTTTTGCCCTGAAGTCAAACCAGATGGCTTGGCTCCTCCTGTTGTTCCCCACACACACCAGGGTCAATAATTAATTCTGTGGTTTCAGTGCAGATCTGCATTTTAAAAGCATGTTGAAGGGATTTCTCACTCACTGAGTTTGACTTCGTAATTTGTAACTTGAATTAGCAGATCAGGAATATCCAGCTTTGGTCTGGTTTCTGTTTGAAGTTTTTACCACTTTTTCCAGCTTCACATTTGACACATGGATTTTGTATTGAATATAGTAAAAGCACTGGCTTTTAAATCAGGGTTCTTGCTGCCATTCACACAGTTTGGCTCTGCCCCATCTGTGTCCTAAAACTGTTGGGAAAAGCTGAACTTCAACTTGAGGCCACAAATGAGAGTTGGAACATATCCTGAGTTACTCATCCAAAGGCCACAGAGAGGTTGGCTATCAGTGAAACTGTCCTGTGTGTGGGGCATGATGGATGTGAGGGCTTGCACTCCTGTCTTTGTTGCACTCTGGCTTGCTTAGGGTCAACACTTTGAGGTTTTATGAAGTTGGCATGTCCTAGGATTGTATTGTTTAAACTCAAACTCAATTTCTAATGCAGTATGGGTTAAAGGAAGCAGGTTTTAGTTTGCTTTTTTCTCCAAATGCTGGCCATATTTTGCTATTGCGTCTGCATGTTGACACAGTGATATTTTTCCAGGAAAATGCTGTGTAGTGTGTTTCCCCTCTCTGATTAAATTCTGGGGAAAAAACAAAATAAACATAAACATTACTTGAAAAACTAATGAAGTGTCAACACATCACTGAGTATCACTTAGAGATGGGGGGGGCTTACTCCTTTTCCCTAGTTGTTACAAAATACTATGTTAAATACTATTAATATTATTTAAATGCTATGAAATGCTGAGATCACTGAATACTACTGTTTTTAAAGTGTTTTCAAATAGTAGATGGAAAATACTATGTAATTAGAAAGCTAACAATAAAGTGTTTTCTCTTTCTGGGCCACACTGCATTGCTCTGGCTGGGTGTAAGCACACCCTGGTGAAATGTCAATGTGAACACGGAATTACTGAGTGGGTGAAACTGGCAGTGAATTAAAATACCTGTAACTGGGAGACTTCTCCAGGTGCTGAGATTTCATCTTGTGCTGGGTAATGCATAATTCATGTTTATGTTGATTAAATCTACAGGTATTCGAATGCTCGACCAGCCATTTATGACAGACATTATTGAGGCTTCCTCTATCAGTCATATGCCTCAAGTCATAGATATATATAGTGCCAGCTGGGGACCAACTGATAATGGAAAGACTGTGGATGGACCTAGAGAGCTAACACTGCAAGCGATGGCAGATGGTGTGAACAAGGTAACAGTCTTGTTCAGTAGTGTGGGTACTGGGGCAGAATGATATGTACACACTCGCACTGAAACCAATGGCTTGGGAATACATGGTCCTCCCATAGGTGTTGCAGAGTGCAATGCAATTGTGTCAACTATCCCAGCTTTCAGTGTATTCCAAGGTTAACTGACGTTCGCCCAGCAGTATTGTGGCATTGCTTTTACTGTGTAGTCTCAGGATACTATGCTCTCTTGCATGGAACTGTGTTTATCTCTAGTCAGCTTACAGATGCTTTTCATATGCCATCGCAAGTCAAAATGGAAAAGCCTGATCCTGTAAGTATTTTCCAGGGTGAAACATGCCAGCTGTACTACTGACATCACATTGTCTGTTTTGGTGGGCTACCAATTTAATTATCGTTCGGGATTTGTAGTGTCCTTCAGGTCACTCATATATGGTCATTATTGTAGCTGTGATTGAACCACAGTTGTTCAGCTGTCCATGGAGTAATATTATTCCCCAGTAGCAGGAGCCTCCTTGTTTATTCCCACTTTCCCCTCTCCTCCTAGGTGTTTGTTAAAGACACTCGATATCATCTTAGAATCTGTTAAACCTGTATTCTATTAGAAGGTTGGGTAGAATGTGTGTCACAACTCAAGAAGAAAACAAATTACTCCAAAACAAACAAACCAACCTTGCACGGCTCTGTCTCCATCTCTTGAGTGGTATGCAGCCAGGACAACCACAGCTGTTCCTGGTGCTGTAGGGAATGAGCCCTCTCCCCTTAGCTGATCGTAGATGGGTTTCCCTAATGAAAAGATCTGAAATTCTCCAGAACATCCGGGGTGGTTTTGTGTGGCAGCTCCACAATTACTCATTTTTCCATCCAAATTATTTCTTCCTCTTACTCGTGCCAGTTTCTCCCACTCTTCATCACCACCTCGCTGTGAGCAGCACATTCAGTTTACCATGTTTTGTGACAGGATAATTAAATCTACTGCTGTGGTAGGTAGTGAAGCATCTCAAATTTTGAACCTCAAATGTTTTGCCTGTAACAGATGAATTATAGTCATCTTCATGCTCTCACCCATAAAATTAGCAATGTACTGCAATAACGCAGGAAGACTTGTCACAAATTTCTCCCGAGTCTGCTCAGTTTTGTAGTATAAACTTTACAAACCTCTGAAAAGCTCAAAGTCCCTCTGAAGCCATCTTACACAAGCTGTGTTTCTTCTCATGACTTACTTTCATTTATCTGGTGTTTCCATAAAGATCCCCTTAAACACTCCTGTCTTGGGGAGGATCTTTCTTAGGTACGTGACACAGTTGATATGTTTTTAGCAACACCTTGATGTCTTACAGTTAGTGGATATTTGATCTTCCTTTCACTGATGTTGGTTGGAGCAGACATAAACTCTGAATATAGAAAAATTCCTGTATAGTTTTTGTGTTATTCTCCTTGCATACAGAACTTATCTAAAGGTAACAGAAAAGGCACTAATAACCCCAGCAGGGGTACGCAAACTGAACTAAATAGAGGTATTTTACCCTTCAAGAGAAGCAGATCTTAAATTGTAGTCATGTTTTTTTTCAGTTTGGTATTTAAAAGATCTTTCAATTAACTTGCCATTGTATCACAATATGCTTTAGTTTGTGGAGTTATGCTGGAATTAACCTTCTCTTTGAATGTTAACTATAGAAGAAGGGATTTTTCTCTTCTGTTCTGTTGTCTGGTTATAGTCCCATACTTGGGAGTGTTGGTGCTACTTTTTGAATGCCTTCCCTTCAGAAGCATTTTTAATTCTCTTTAAGAAATAATTTGCAATATTAAGATCAGAAGGGGCCCTGAGATCTCTCAGGATGAATACTTGTGAAGGAGAGAAAAAGGTGATGGTGAGCTGCACTCGGGAAAGATTGCTCTCATACTTTGTCAGAAAACATAAAATTAACAGGAGAGCCTCGCATTAGGAAGCCAGTTCTGTCAAAACAGCCATTGCAGAATTAGAGAGCAGAAGGAATGAAATTGGATTCTACCTAAGAAAGATATTGTTGTCCAGGGACAATTACACTTAATTTATAGTGGCAGTATCTCAGCTATTTCCTGGCAAGACTTACACGGAAGAGACAGCTCCACCCCAAAAGAAATCCCTTTGCATTGTGATCGTAGCTTTACCCCTATTTTGCTTGTTACATTTCCTATCAATAGAATGTTTTTTGGGGGTATAGTTTGTTCCGATCTCTGTTTGTGGAGAGACAGATTTTTCTAAGGATATTTCAAGATGTCAGTGGATGCTGGATCTTCTCCATGGTGCTTTGAAAAACCCACTACAGACTTCCCTGCATGTAAAGGAAGACTTAACAAGCCTTTGATATAGTACCTTTTAACCTAGTTTAGGTCTATAATATATGCATCAAATACTCTATTGACTGTACAAATGTAAATCTAATTTATGGTCATTTTTCAGAATAAAACCCTCTCTTACTAAAGAGAAAAGCACCTTTTATAAACCGAGAGACAGATAAATGTAGGACTTCTTTTTCTCAGTCTAAAGCTGATTCTCACCAGTGAGATGGTTCACGAATTAGTGATGAAGCTGAAATATTGGCAGGGAGGAAGCAACATGCTGAGAATAAAAATGTGTTATTAAACTAAATGCAATACTTTCAAAAGTACTAGAAGGAAATGTAAGATCTCCTGCATAGAGGAAGATTAATATCCTTACTTCTAATGCAATAAACTAAAAATAAGTAAGCGGGAGTGATACAAAATTCTTACAGGGAATAATCAGACTGAGTTGACAAACACAGGTAACATTTACCTTGTTGTCACCACACTTGGGAAGCCAGCTCAAGGAGAAACTCATTGACAAGAGTTTTGTCCTTCCCCCAGACTCCATTTCACTGTCATGTCCTTTTGAAGTTCTCCTTCCAGAGCTGCTGGGATGCCAAGGGTCATCTGATAATGATAAGATGATGAAAACTGCAGAAACTGTGAGACTTCTTGCTTATATGTCTGTTTTTATGGCTTGAAGCCACACAGCCATAACCAGGCGGACGAAGGCTGGTGTATCTTTGTATCTTTCCTCTTCTATTTCCCATTCTTGGCATTTGTTAAGCTGATTCCTGCCTTCGATCTTAAACATACTTTCACTTTGGTGTGCTGTTTGCTTGTAAGGTAAATAGCATGAATAAAGGCAGCACTAAAATATCATAATGAAGGACAGCAGAATCTGTTCATCACACTGGCAACTCCTTTATGGGCTCTTTTACTAACTGCATTTCCAAGGCTGACCGCAAAGGGGGATGACATGTGCATGAACTTGGTGTCAGCATAATACATGTAATCAGAAGGTACTGGGAAAGGGACTCATGCTGCTTTTTGTTATTAAGACACGATCCCGTTCATTTTTTAGTGCAATCTATGCTTTGCTGAGTTATCTCATAACTTACGTTGAAACTTGTGAGTATCCAGTACCTGCCTAATGAGGAGGTCTTGCACTTGCCCTTTGCTGTGAGGCATCTGATGCTGGCTGCCAGCTGTAACAGGAGACTCTGCTAGACTCTGCCCGAGCCAGATATCCATTAGGGTAGTCCACAACAAGCGAAGGGACAAATGCTGTTCTGTCTGGTGAAAGAGAGATCCAGAAAACGCATTCTGTTGTGCTCTCTCCTGCTTTCTTCAAACGCACTTGCCAGGAGCAAAAAATGGATATCCTTAATGAGATTTTATTATCTGGCCTCTAGACTCTGTCTGAGACACATCTATGACCAGCAGCAGGTTCTGGGGTGTAGGGAGAAAAGGTATATGTTTCTTTACAGTCTCAGTAAATCACCAACCTAACATTATTCTGGGCTGTCCCAAGATATCTTAGCCCTGCACCAAGACCAGGCTGCTCATATGCTCAGTTTTATTGCTTCTAATCGCTCTGTGTCACACATTTGCAGATGTATTTCCTTGAGCTATGGAGGAATTTTACTGCAGGTGCAGAAATACAAATTAAATTCAGAGTGGGGCAAGAAACCAGGATGGACTTAGGAACAAGCAGCCCAGCAGTGTTGAGCATAGCTAGCTATCCCATCTGATTGAGAGGTACTTTCATTTGAGAGAAAGGAGGAGTGAGCTGGTAGTGGCATTTTATATATAGCATGGCTGGACAAAGCAATGCTGTGTGATTTACATATCCCTTGTCTGATCTGTGCTTACCCACTTTGTTGACTATAGAGCTTGGAGGGGGAGGTAGGGATGGTAGATGGGATTGCTGTGACAGCACAACTCTCTTAAACGTAGACTTTTTGTTCTCTGGTACTTTGCATCTAGAATTGTATCGGCAGTCATCTTAAACAGAAAAAGGTAACTAGCTCAAGAACTAATTCCACCCATGTTTTATGGTACATCCAGTCTTTAATGCAGTATCCAGTAAACATTTCTGATTTGCCATTTCATGAGTCCAGTTCTTTCCAGCTTCAGCTATTGGAATTTAAGGCAGTAAAAAGAGTAATCAAGCTAAGCTGGTCTCTATCTATTGCATTTTTATGACGTAGGCTTTTATATTAGAGGGTTGTGAGGAGGTGCTCATGGGCTGAATTAATTTCTTGAGACTTTGCCGGCTCAGCCAGAATATATAAGGCATGATCCATTTGTGCTTGTGCTGGTGAAAACATTATTGCTTCCATAATACAGTTCCACCTAAGAAAATGCTGCACAAGTACAAATTGCCAGGGGAGCAGTATTAAGAACTTACAGTCTCATCATGGCTCTGTAATTGGGCTCACCAATGAAAGAAGAAAGGACGGTGTTAAAAATGAAAGGAAATATTTCTCATTTGCCTCTCTCCAAGGCCACAGGCATTGTGTTACTGTTCTCTGAAATATGCTGAAGATAGCATGTTAATAAAGTATATGCAGTTAGATACCTCTAACATAATTTCATTTGCTCAACAGCCAAGTGCGGATAGGGAAATTAGTTTATGATCTAGCAACCATCTGATTACTCCATTTCTGAGAAAGCCTTACAAGCTTCTTTATGA